GGGTTTAGGGTTTAGGGTCTTAGATGCAAGGAATCGCGGTTTCGGTTTGTGAAACACTACGTGCTTTACACTCTGGTAGGTTCGGGCGTGTAAGGGCTAAGCTTCGACCACTGTCGGCCCAAACAGAGAAGCTTCTTCCCACCGCTATTGTCTCTGTCACTTCCCTAAACCCTAAACCCTAAGCCTTCAAAAACCTAAGCCCCTCACTAAACTTAAAACCTTACACCGGAAGGCTCGTTCGAGTTCTGCGGCTTTCTTATGCTGCTGGGCTTATGGTTGCTACAGAGTTCTAGGGTTTAGGGGGTTTAGGGCGTCTGGGGAAATCGAGGGACGGGGTGATGCCATCATCAGGTCAGATAGAGAATAACACTGAACTGAAAGGGCAAAGGTGGGCGTATAGAAGACGATACAGCAAGTCACCACAAACTTACTGCCTGATTGAGTCCCTCCCGCCCTCCTGCATCCCCCTATCGAATTAAGGCAAAGTTGAGGGTGCATGGGTGAAGGGATCAAGCACAGTGGCCAGGCTGATGTTGCAAATAATATGGATTGAAAGGCCCAGAAATCCTTAACTTGCGCACCGTCGTTGATCTGAGTCATCGAGCCCTGCTGAAATCTTGCACCTATATCCGCCTATATCCCTTGCACCCAAACGCTCGCATTCAACCCCAAAGTCTACCCCTAACGCCCCCCACCCCTTGTTCATCTCTAGAACACCGGATTTCCTGCTTTCGTTTAGGGTCCGGGAGTGCCTTTGGCGTAGAATATGCCCCATCCAAACCCCCGAGCCGCGCCATCCTAAACCCAAAAGCCCTGAATCCTAGTACCCTGGTCTCGACTCGACAACCCTGCAGGATGAAGGTTTCAAGCCTAAGACCCCCTGCAGCCGAAGTAACGTAGATCTCGTCGAACGGAATCCCACGCTCTTCGTAGGCAGGGGCAAAGAAGCGCATGGCGTCAGCGAACCGCGAACCACCTGTCGGGTTCATAGAGTGGTTTAGGGGTCAGGGGTTTAGGGTTCAGGGTTAAGGGGTGCCGTGCGCCCTTCCTCTTCATACCCACAGCCGCTGTTTTTGGGTGTTTGCTTGCATCTTGGTAATTCTTGCTCCTTCGGGTGGCCTGATTGCTCCAGAACTGAGGAGACTCTAGGGCAATGTGGGTTTAGGGTTTAGGGTTTAGGGTTTAGGGTTTAGGGTCTAGGGTTTAGGGTTTTGGCCCCTAACTTATTGCTCCTCTCTTCTTAGTCTTGGACTGTATGGGGGGCGTCGCCTAGGCTTCTGCAAGTGCCTGTGCCGCTCCCGAAGGGAGGCGAGATCACTGGACGCTTTCTGTGCTCTGAGGGTGTACGGATCAAACTGCTGCCAAGTGAGTGTGAAGTCATGGTTGATGTCTTGGCTGCGCGGTGTCGCTCACATCCTTCACATCCTGTAAGAAGTATTGGGAATGTCTTTAACAATCATTATGAACACAACGTCTCTCAATCCCACACGAAACCGGCAAACACTCGGTTTGATGGGAAGCAAACTTACGAGCTTGACGAGCAGAATGTCAAACTTCTGCCCGAAATCTTGGACTCTGAACCTTAGTCAGAACAGTGGAACGACCCCACTCCAAGCAGCCTGCGTCGAAAAATATGCGCTTCCCCTTGATGCCCTCCGGAAAGCTCCTCCCGTCAGGGCTGCTGCAAGCTCTTTAGGACCCTGGACACACCGGGGCGTGATACCGGGTTAGGGTTTGGGGCTTAGGGCTCACTTATATGCTTCCCTGAGGATCCCTAGTAGCCTCCCACCTTGAACTACCCTCCCTTACCCTCCTTTAAGGATCCTAGGGTGCTTCAGCTCTCCCGGAGACCCCAACTGCCAAACTCACGAGTGCCATGATTTCTCCAAGTAAGCGAAGGCCACCCTGAAACCATAAAGCCCACGCCTGCCCCAAGCCCTTAAACCTTGCGGCCTTTTCTTCGGATTCTCTCTACGGCTTCTGTTACACAGGGTCTTAGAAAAGCTGTTATGATGCATTTAGATGCACGTACATATTCCGGTTTGCGTGGGGACACAAGGCCTCAGGGGCTTAGCAGCTCGAACACCGAGCCCTGGACCGGTATAATCTTCAAACCTTTAAGGCCCAGACCCCAAGCCGCTCGGGGCCTTTCGTCTTGATATGCCCCGAAATCTTATGAGTTCCGAGATTTGAGGCCTCATCTCGACATGAAGAGGCCCGCCTGTTGTCAGCCAGGACAAGCCAGTCCACGTTCATCATCGGATCCCGCTGGCTCCCTCCGTTTGCACCCGCCATCCTCCGGGAATGAAGGCTTAGAGGTCTGGGATGTTGGGGTTTAGGCTGTTGAGTGTAGGGTTTAGGGTCTAAGGATGTCTAAGGATTATAATGCTGCAGGTTACATTCGGGAAGTTGAGTGTAGGGTTTAGGGTCTAAGGATGTCTAAGGATTAGAATGCTGCAGGATACATTCAGGAGCTTGAGGCCCACAGAGGAAGGCTGGTCGAACTTCGGGAATGGATGTGCAATTCTGCCAACATCGAGATCATATCCCGAGGCGCCAGCAACTCTTGGAATTGCTTTTCAATGCTAGTATTTGTTTTATACTTGTACCAATATGAGTATTAGAAGTATTGATGCAGAACCCCGGGCAGCCGCAAAGCCAGGCCAACCCGCACGACGCGCTCTCAGCAAACCCCCAAGATAAGCCAACATCCCCACAGTCCAACTTACCCTTAATATTAGCAAGCTACAATGCATGGGTGCAAAAAGCTTCAGGTGAACCCTTTAGACATGCCAGAGCGACCGTTATGTAAACCCCATCGCAACCCAGATTTTGCCCGAAACCCCACCTTGAACCCATCAAAAGGCCCAAGTCAAGGTCCTCTAACAAAGCACACCCATACCAAAAAAAACGGTAACAAGAGAGCCCAAAACCCTGAACCATAACCTGCCGGGGTGAGTTCCTTGAGGTCCCCAAAAGTCTATACCCCAACAACAACAACCTACACCCCAAACCCTAAACCCTACACCCTAAACCCTAAACTCTATAAGCAACAAGAACAACCCAAAATCACAACAAAGAAGCCTTGCCTGCAGGGATACTGGGGGCTCCTAAGGATGCCGGCCAGTGGCTCTATCACCTCCGCTGCTTCTTTGGGGGTGTAGGGTTGAGGGTTTAGTTTACGGTTTAGGGCTTTAGGGGTTTAGGGGTCTACAGCGTAGGGGTTGGGGGTTTAAGGGTGTAGGGTTGAGGGTTTAGGGTCTAGGGGTGTAGGGTTTAGGGTTTGGGGGTTTAGGGTGTAGGGGTTAGGGTTTTAGGGTCTAGGGTTGAGGGTACAGGGATCAGGGCTTTAGGGTCTAGGGTTCCGAAGTGTGGGGTTTAGGTTTCAAGCTGCTCAGGGTTGTCTTCAGGTCTCTTATATAAGAGTGGTTACAGGCTTTAAGGTGTTCGTGTATGTTCTCCTTATGGTTTGTAGGTTGCTTTTACGTGGGTGTTCGGTTCTTTGCCCCAATCCGTCTACCAACACCCATACACCCTAAACCCTAGACCCTCAAACCCACTACCCGAACACCCGAAACCTTAAACCCCCAACCTAAGACCCAAACACCCTGAACCCTAAGCCCTAAACCCGAAAACCCCTAAACCCTAAACTTGTAAACCCTAAACCCTAAACTTGTAAACCCTAAACCCTAAACCACAAAACCCCTAAACCCTCAAGAAGGAAACAAAGGCCCAGCCAGGCCTGCTGAGGCGAGCCCGAGCGACCTGGGATCGCCAGAGCAGAGACGACGATGGACTCTGAAGGTTTCGGGGGAATAAGGTTTAGGGTTTAGGGTTCAGGGTCTAGGGCTTAGGGTTTAGGGGGACTCTGAGGGTTTTGGGGAGTAGGGTTTAGGGTTTAGGGTCTAGGGCTTAGGGTTTAGGGGGACTCTGAGGGTTTTAGGGGAATAGGGTTTAGGGTTCAGGGTCTAGGGTTTAGGGGGACTCAGAAGGTTTTGGGGAACAAGGTTTAGGGTTCAGGGTCTAAGGTTCTCCAGAGCAAGGGTTCTTCAGACACGACCATGGATTCTGAAGCTTCGGACTTGGTTTTTGTTGCCACCTCTTTTCCTTACCGCAACTGGTCGGGAATACCATGCTGGTGGAGGCTTGGGGTTTAGGGCCTAAGGTTTATAGGTTTCAGGTTCGGGGCGTGGGACTTTGGGAAATTTGGTCTTGGTTCTGGCGGGAAGGTGCTGTTGGGGCTTAGATTTTCGGGTTTGTGGCTACGGGTCTGGGGTGTAGGCTGGGGATGTCGCCCGGCCAATATCTACACATCGCACACCGGGGTGAACAATGCGTCCTGGCTTGTGCACGCGTCCGATCTCAAAACCTCCGGATCCGATGCTCCCACACCCAGAGACTCCAAAACCCCTTAATTAAGGAATATACCTTAAATCATATTAGGGATCCCTATTATATTCTAAGGTATATTCCTTAACTAAGGGGTTTTGGAGTCTCTGGGCAGAAGAGCAGAAGTTGAGGGTACTGGCTTCAAAGGGTTCTAGGAGCAGGGTCTTAGCCGATTTATCCTAAAACTCAAGGACTCCCGACGCGAGAGCTTTTTGGGTTTCTTCACGATGGAGGGACCAGTGTCTGCTTCACGTTCGGGCATGCCTTGAGGACCTGAAACACGACCGAAAGATCCCTGGGACCCCACAGAGAGACAAGCGCTCTCTTCCGTAGATAACCCTGAGCGCTCTGGATTGCAGATGTCGCTTGTAGGTAGTGCTGCTGATCTGCCCCATATTTTTTGGTGGGGCCCTAAACCCTAAACCCTAAACCCTAAACCCTAAACTTTTTTGGTGAGGCCCTAAACCCCATGTTGGGTTCAGGCCCTAAAATTAACTGGAACCCCGAAGCCCCTCAAATCCAATCCTACGCCCCAGACCAGGAAGCCTTCGTTGTAGATGGCGGCAAAAGGCCACAAGACCCTAAACCCCGAAACCCTATACTTTTGCCCTAAACCGTAGGGCTAGAACCACCCTGGACTAGGGTTTAGGGTGAATCGAAACCCTGCGCCCCAGCGGTGGACTCGGCCCGGCACAGATGGTGGAAAAGATTGCATCGTCACTCGGCGGAGATACCCGGGCTCGGTTCCTGCGAATGATGCTCACCGAGTTTCTCGGGGGCGGGTGTTGGGCTTCGGGTTTAGTTTAGAGCCTCTTATGGCTAAGGGTCCGGCACATCGAAATCGAAGGCTTTGGAGCTTCGATAAAACTTGTGTGCCCTGGTCCCCCCCTTCACCTCGGAATATGCTGGCGGTGCTTTCGCGCTCTGCACCCCTTTGCTGTCGCGACTCGGTGCATTTGTTGTTGCATGCCCTCCGAGACATTATGACATTCGTTCGTGCTGTCAGCCTCACATCCTGCTGCAAGCCGGTGAGATTTGTGTCCTGGTGTTTTGCTGTCTCCTCATTGTCGCGCCGGAGTTTTCAAATTTTCGATTTGAGCTTCCTGAGCCTGGGTATGCCGAACATTGTCTCATGTTTGACTGCTCTACCCTAATTCCTAACAGGTCCTGGTGCTCACTGTGCCGGTACAACACCCAATATTATCAAGCCTGTGGACTTTCCTGACAGTTTTGGCTACTTCACTGGGACACTTGGCAGGTGTTGTCACATTTTACACCCGACAGGTTCGACATTCGGTTGCGCGAACCATGTCATGCGAGCTCTGGAGGATTCCACTCACACGATGACGTAATCGAAAGCCCCAACCCAAAACCCTAAACCCGAAACCCCACGAACCCCGTCATGGACGGCATATGCAGAGAAACTACAGATAGTAGCCCCGGAACCCTAAAACACTGCAAGCTCTGCACGTCCTGTGGACCCACGCATCCGTGGCACTGCCCAAAGTTGAGCACAGGACGCCTGTCGCGATTTGCGAGAGAAAGGCGTAAAGTCGCAGGTTTAAAACTTCAGTGCTTTGGATTCAGCAGATTCCATCGGCAGAAACAACGCAAGCTGCTACCCACAGTGGAATTCTCGAAAGCCCGGATCTCGACCAGCGCAATTTCGAGGCCGTCGGTGCGGCGCACGGATCAGAGATATGTTCGTTGGGTTGCGAGCTTCGAGCTTGGTGGCCACCGGAGTTTGCAGCCTAGAAATAGAGAGAATGAGCCATAGAGACAAAGGTGGATGTCAGTGGCAAAACGGAAATGACGGGAAATGGCATGTAAAAGGAAAGATGTGGTCAGGTACAGCGTTGAGTTTGGAAAGGTTACGCGAATGAAAATACACGGTAAGGAGCAAAAGCCTGACAACCATATAGATGACGCACTAGTTTGCTCTAAAAAGGTGTGTGTGTGTGTGTATACATATATATATATATATATATGTATACAAGACAACACAAAGGTGGTTGCGGGACACGGAATTTGGTACAACGAAGCCACAGTGAAGGTAACACGGGTGCGACTAGTTACAGTAGTCTTCACGTATGTTTACGTTCGTTGAAGGTGTCGCGAATCTCTCCATTACGAAACCGTGTGAAAGCGCCTCAAGCCTCAAACCCGATGAAACCCTAAACCCTAAACCCTAAACCCCCAAACCCTAAACCCTAAACCCTGAACCCTAAACCCTGAACCCAAAAAAGCTAAGGATGCACCTGGGGTCCTGGTCAGCCTCTGCGGCTCCGCAGTGAATCTTGCCTGCGCCCAGCTCTACAATGCAAAACTACCTCGGTTTAGGGTTTAGGGTTTAGGGTGTACTTAAACCCGCTAAACCATAAACTCCAAACCCATGAAAAGGCAACCTTGCAAGACGTCTGCACGCAATGCATGCGTTGGTCCCTTAATTGGGGTTATAAGTATAGTTACCCTAGTTATAACCCTACTTACTAAGTCCTATGATCCTTTAAGTATGGTCAGGCGAAGACCTCCAAAATGAACCAAGCAAGAAACCGATCCTCAAACCTCCAAATCCGAAACACTAAACCCTTAAATCCTAAACCCTAAACTCTTAACCCTAAACCAGTCTAGGTTTCACAAGAATGGCCTGAACGAGCACATTGAGGGCTGGAAGGATTCGTGGGCGTCGTCTGGCATGTTGAAACAAAGATGCATAGGGTTTGGGGACTGTGGCTGCAGGTGCGGTGGTGAGCTTGGCAGGTTACCACCAAAGTTGTTCCACAACCTACGCCCAAAGTCCCCTGATCCTACAAACCAATTGGTTTCCCCTGGCGCCCGGGAACAACCCTAAACTTTAACCCTGAACCCTCAACCCTAAAACCCTAAACTCGAAAAAACCCTAAACCCTAAACCCTAAAACTAAACCCTGAACAAAAACCCCGCCTCCAGTTGGCTGCCGTGGTAGAAATCCTTTAGGGTTCAGGGCGTGTTTAGGGTTCAGGGTTTAGCAGGGTTAGGGGTTTGGGGGGTTTAGGGGTTTTGGGTTTAAGGGTGCCGCATATTCTGATGGCTACAGTGCCGATGGCAATGACGATCTTATCAGTGCGGCGTACTGATATTAGTGCTGCTGATGGCAGTACAGGATGATAAGCCGACGGAAGACAAGGAGGAACATTGGAGAGGAGTAAGGATGCAATCACAGCAACCTGATGATGGCCGTGGTGATGATGATGAGGAGGAATCTGACGATGATGGCTTAAGGCTTCGGGCTCAGTGTTGGAGTTCGGTCCAGAGCTGACCTGTCCTCTCAATTCTCATAAGGCAAGCAGTGAGATCTCAAGTCTGGACTTCAGAAAAGACCCTGCGGAACCCACGCTTAAGACTTGCATGTTCTAGCCGTAGCTGCCCGAAAACACGCCCCAGGCCCGTAAGGACACTCTGCAAAGAAACCCTAAACCCTAAACCCTAAACCCTAAACCCCAAACCCTAGCCCGTAAGGAAACTCTGCAAAGTAACCTCCATACCGTACCCTATATCCGGGAAACCTGAGCCCTGCACCTGTCAACCCCAAACACTAACCAGCCAGGTTTACGGTTTAGGGTTTGGGGTTTAGGGTTTAGGGCATACCCCAGACTAGCCCGGCAGAGCTGGACCCGAACTTTCCGCCTCCGTGCAGACAGTGTCTCGGGTCGCCTTGCTTGCAGGGTGGAGGAGTTTAGGGGATATGAGGCTTCTGCTGCAGCTGCCATGAGCCCCGGAGGTCCTGAAGCCCTAAAGAGGAAAATTCAATTTCAGGTAACAAGGCCCCCCTACTGAGGTATGAAACTCTTCCAAAACCCCATAGTATCGAAGCCAAAAAGTTGGAACATCATTATTCTCATGCCCTTAAGGTAAAGCAAAGGGGATCCCAGCACTAGTCATCCTTAAATCCATGTTCCAACTTTCTGCAATGTCTTGATTCCTTAACCCTAAACCTTGAACCTGGAACTCGACCGTCTTTGGCCTGCATCTTGCCGGCATCGCCCGAGACTGTGAACCAACGGCGATTTGAGGTTCCTGGGCCCGAGTTCGGCTTTAAGGTGTAAGGTTCAGGGTTTGGGGTTCAGGGCAAAATTCTGAGAAACCTAAGCACCAAGCCTAAAACAGGGCTGCAAACATGCAACGCAAAGCCCGACTAAAATCCTGAGCATGAGAAACGGGTACTTCACGGAGGGCTTAGGGTTTAGGTTTTGCGGTTTAGGCGCTTTGGCTTTAGGGCTAAGGGCACTAGCAGTGCTTGAATTGCAGCGTGTGCAAGTGGTCGACGTTTCAAGGGACCTCCGGATGACGGTGATTATGGTGATTATGATGGTGACAATGACGATGACTCTGATGCTGACGGTGATGCTGATGATCATGGTGGTGATGGTGATGGTGATGGTGATGGTGATGGTGATGGTGATGTGATGGTGATGAACAGGAAGAGGATGATGAGGATGATTGCGATGATGACGATGACGGTTATGCTGATGGTGATGCTGATGGTGATGAAGAATGGTGAAGGTGAAGATGGCGATGACGATGAAAGATGTGCTGATTGTGATCGTGATGATGATGGTGATGGTGACGAGTGGTGAGGGTGACAGGCAATCATCATCACCCCGACCATCACCATCACCATCATCATTATCGTCATCGTCATCGTCACAATCGACATCGTCCTCATCGTCATCATCTTCAGTCATAGGCCTCAACCTCGTGGGCACCAACGGCAATGACAAGCATACTCATCGTCGCACGGGCCGAGCGTCCACTCTCGGCGCACGCGACATGCCTTGGATCAAGATCGGGCCTTATAATCTTGCTGTAAAGGGCAACTACGACAGGTTTCTACACAGCGCTACTATAAGAAGGGATTTAGGATTAAGGGGCCCTCAGAATCAGAGCTTGAGGGTTCATAAGGTGTCATTAGGCTGCTGGTAGAGGTAGCAACCACAATAGAATGGGTTGGGTGCTTGTCTGAAGAAATACAGATCTCCTGACTCCTGGCTTGAGCCCTGAACCCCGGAGTTACCCTGAACTCCCTTTCAATGATCTCCACATGGTGGTTTGGGATCGGCTTAGGGTTTCGAGTTTAGGCGGCATCAAACTTCGATCACAAGAGGTCTATCTGGATTCTTCTGAACCCTAAACCCTAAACCCTAAACCCTAAACCCTAAACCCTAAACCCTAAACCCTAAACCCTAAACCCTAAACTTCTGTCTTCTCGAAAACTCGAAGAATCGGTACAAGGGCTCAAGCTCCAGGTCCAAGTCCTAAACATCACACGGCCCGAACACCCATCCCCTGCATCCGGTCGCGGTGCTGGTGCTAAGACCAATTCGTTCTGCCTGTATGGCATTGTTTAACAGATGGTTTCCCCTGTTCTCGCCTTCGAAGCACCTTCAGATCCTACGAAGTCTTCGGGAAAGCAGGTCCGGCCGTCATAGTAAAATTTCGATAAGCCTGATCTGTATGGAGACCGAGGAGTGCTGGACACGATGAACGGTTTAGGGTTTAGGGTTAAGGGTGACATGCAGGAACCTGATTAAGAATCATGGCTTTGTGCTCGGGCTCTCAATGTGCAGCTCCTTGTTCTCAGTATGAGGATTCAGGGTCTCGTGCTTGAGGTGCATGTTTCATTCATGCTCCTTCCGACATGCTATGGACTATAATTCTTGCGCGGTGAAGCACGGCCCAAAGCAACTAATTTGTGCACGTCAACAAAATCCTCAATCGGCCAATGCGCCCTCATCTCACGGGTCAAATCCCCTCAACCCCAAACCGTAAACCCGAAGCCAAATACTGTCGGGTTAAGTTAGCATGCACGCCCAGGAGCCACAAAGAGGCGCCGGCCAGGGAGCAAAGAACCCAAAGGGTTCGGCGGTACATGGCTGTATGCTTAAAGTCACCGGTGCAAGTAGCGCCAAGAAACCCAAGAGCAAGGCATCTTGCAACCCTGAATCCTAAACCCGAAACCAACCATGAATAGTAAAAATAGGAGAGACTGACGATGTCAGTTCATGGCTCCAAAATGACCGGCTGGGCTCCACATGATATGTGGCTGCGGTGAGAGCTCAAGAGATTTGCCACTGTTATAACGGAGAATGTCACCGACTTCTGCAAGTTCGGCAAGTTTGCCCGGCCAATTTCCTGATGAGGTTCGTTCTGCTGCATCGCACGACTTCTTTATGTCACAACATGCCCCCTGGATCTTCTAGGAAATCAGCATGCGATGTTGCAGTTCCTATTACGCACAATTCAGTCGGCAGTGTAGTGTCTCGACAGGCGTCAACTTGAACGGAGGTGATTGTTTAAAGGTGGAGGCGCAGATCAAATTTGATGAATTCTTCCACAAACCAAGAGACGCCTCAAGCGATCCGAGTTCCCCGAATCCAACCACAACCTGACCCTTCAGCTAAAGCCGTAGTTATAAACAAAAACCGTAGACCCGAACCCAATGTAGGAAAAGGCCAAGGCCAAAAAGCAAAAAACAAACACATACCAAAGGGTTTAGGGTTCAGGGGATTGTGGGGGTTTATTAGGGGTCGAGGGCAAGTATGTAAAGCACCTGCAGTGACAGCTCTTGCTTGCAACGAGTCACAACTCGCGGGTTCATGCATTTTTGTTTTCTTCGCTTTCGGGCACCGTCGGCTCCTCCGGGGAATTCTGAAGCTCTTTGTATCGGGCACCGTCGGGTTTGGGAGTCGCGGTTCAAATTCAAAGCTTACGCAAGCTTCGGCTCCGGAACTTGTTGCGAATTCAGCTGTGGGAGCTGAGGTTTAGCGGGTTTAGGGTTTAGG